AACAGAGCAAGACTCTGTCTCAGAAAAAAAAAAAAAAAATTGAGATTTTACACGTAGAAAGAAGTAAAACATCTGAGCCAGGGTCTCTGTCACCCGGGCTGGAGCGCAGCGGCACCACCATGGCTCACTGCAGCTCCCACCTCCTGGGCTCACTGCAGCTCCCACCTCAGCCTCCTGAGTAGCCGAGACCACAGGTGTGCACCACCACAGCCAGGTCGTTTTTTTATTTTTTGTGAGATGGGGTCTACGTTGCCCAGGCTGGGTTCAAGAGATCCGCCCCTCAACCCCTAAGGTGCTGGGATTACAGGCGGGAGCCACCACACCTGACAGTAACGTGCCAAGTAAACACTGCCAGCATTCTCCCAAGACCCTCGGGAAACAGCAGGCTGTGGAACTGATGCTGTTGGACACGGAGGCGCTGAGGCTGCGGCGGGGTTAGCATCCAGTACAGGACGGGGGCAGAGGCCTGCAGAGGCTCCCTACTGGGACCCACCTTGCCCTGCAGCGGCCATGCCACCCCCAGGCCAGCAGGTGTGACCCCCCGGTCACGGCCACCCCGGCCCTGAGCACAGAGATGGACACGCATTGCGGCCAGCACAGACACAAGCTGCATGAAATTCAGAAACAAAGACGTGACAAAAGACTTTTTTCCATAAGAATAGGTTCAATACACAAGTGCTAAGTTATAAGCAATTCCAAAGGGAGACGGCGCCAGCTGTGCCTGTCTCACACCGCCTCTGGGACGGGTGGGCTCCTGCCTGCAGCTGTGACCCACCTTCGGCACATCCCACGCGGCAAAGCCACGGACGGACGCAGAGGCGGGAAGGCGACCGCCATGTGGGGAGCCGTGGGCCCGAAACAGCCCCCGCCGACTCTGGCGCCCCTCCCGGGCCAGGGTCCCCTCTGCCATCTCCCGTGAAGAGCAAACGCGGCGCGGAGCCGTCACCTACGGGGCTGGTGCAGGAGGAAGCCCCGTGCGAGCCCAAGCGCAGAGCCAGCCCTCCGGCCGCGGGGCCTCCTGCAGGGACTCCAGTCCTGCGCCTTCCACCAGCACAGGAGCACGGGCTTTGGCCCCCAGACCTCAGGAATTCAGAGAAAAGGCTCTGCAGGTCCCCGGGGACCTCCAGTCTGCAGCAGCCAGAGGGGCGCCCAGGAGGCCCTGCCCCACGGAAGCCAGCCAAGGGTGACCCCTCGTGGCCACAGTGAGCAGGCTCCTGACTTCCACTGCAGCAGAAAAGCCAAGCACCTCCGAGAGGAATGTGTCTCATTCTGATTGCCGGTGAACACTTTTTCTTTTTTTTTTTTTGAGACAGAGTCTCGTTTTGTCGCCAGGCGCCAGGCTGGAGTGCAGTGGCGCGATCTCCACACCGAAACCTCCGCCTCCTGGGTTCAGGCAATTCTCCTGCCTCAGCCTCCCGAGTAGCTGGGACTACAGACGCACGCCACCACGCCCGGCTATGTTTTTTCATATTTTAGGAGAGACGGGGTTTCACTATGTTGACCAGGATGGTCTTGATCTCTTGATCTCATGATCTGCCTGCCTCGGCCTCCCAAAGTGCTGGGATTACAGGCGTAAGTCACCGCGCCTGGCGGTAAATACATTTTAAACTGCTGGGACCAAACCGTATCTCCCTGGATCCTGACCCACGGCCGTCACCCGCCCCGCTACGCCTTGTCACCACACGGCCAGCCCCACCACCAGGCCCCAGGAACCCACCTGCGGAGGAGCCGGGAGCTCCAAGAATGCAGGCACGGCCTGCAGTCAGCATCGGGTTTGTATTTCTAAGCGACCAAATCTACTAAAATGAAAAACGTGTTTACTAAAACAGATCCAAAGACAACACAGAAGATAAGCTACAAAACCAGCACGCCAGCAGCCCCTCCACGCCAGCCCCGGCGGCAAGTGGCCAGGGCAGGGCTGAGTCTCCAGTCTCCTCCGAAGCCCAGTCACACATTTTGGCTTTTGCTTTCCTTTCCAGGTTTTTAAAACCTAAACCCAGGAGCCTGGTGGGTCTGCCTGTGCTGGGCAGCGTGTCCGGCCGGCCCAGGTCACGCTCGTGCCACGCGCCCTCCGTGGCGCCTTGGTCTCGGTGCCAGGCCTCACTCCTGTGCGATGCTCCTCAGCACATACTTGACGGTGTAGGCGAAGGCTGCAAACCCGACTATAACAAACAAGTTCGCCAGGGCGCCGCCCAGGAGTCCGTGGTGCCGGTTGGCCTGCTGGAGCCCCGGGAGGTTTGGGACGGCCCCTGGCGCGTGCCCGTTGAGAAGCTGAATCCCGTTCTGGACAAGGTGTGTCTCCCCGTCTGGAACCACGTCTGGCAAGGGGAGAGTCTGGGGTCTGCTACTGAGTTCGTCTTGTGCTTTCTGTTTTTGTTTAATTTCCTAAGAAAAAAACAGCGAGACACTCAGCTGGTCTCCAACCAGCGCCTTCAGGACCAGCACTCCCATTCCTAGGGGCCCACAGTCCACCGCCAAGAACAAGGACCTCAGCTGTGATCCATCCTGACACTGTCTCACAGGTGACGGCCTGAGCAAGGGACTGGCCTCACTGCACCTGTCCCTCTGGGCCCCTGCAGTCAGTCAGATCAGAGCAAGGCTGAGTCACAGGCTAAGACCAGGGTCCACTCCAGTCCCACATGGCTTCGGGCAGCTGCTGTGCCTCCCAGCCACCCCCAGACCATGTAAGTGCCACTCAAGCCAACGAGCTCCATGCCCTTGTGCGACAGGCCCAGCCCCCAGCCCCTGGGTGGTCAGCAGGCCACCCCTCAGGGCCCAGGCCTTCTGTCTCTCCTGCCTCGGGGCTCCCGGAGAGGAGCCATCCTCTGGGAGGGTCTGCAGCTTCAGGATACAAACCTTAAGCTTTGGAAAGAAGTGGAACTGACAGTGTTTTTAACACAGGGGAAGGCAAAACCCACTTCCCACTTTCTTACCTCCACAACTTCAGGAAATAATTCACAAAAGACTTTATCTTTTAAATTAAAGGCTGAACTCTGTGCTGCTAGCTGTCTTTTCTAGGAAGAAAGAGAAAGGAATCAGCCAGAAAACTCACTTCAATTCTTTCAAACTTCTAAAAACAGGTTACTTCAAAGTCAAGAGCTGCAGCCTTCATGCTGTAGAAAGCACTTAATAAGCATGCTCTTCACAGCAAACAGAATCTCAAAAAGGCTCACTGATCTTTCCATTATCAATTAATGATATCACACTAGATTCCTATTAAAAATAGAAAAATAAAACAAGCTAGCGAGAAAGGCATTGTGCTCCCTGCTGGCAAGGCCCCCCAGGCTGTGCCACTGGCGCAGCCTCGGCCCACCCCAAGATCCCACGGCGGAGCCCCTGGTGGGTGTGGGTGAAGCTTGATGCGGATAAAAGCAAGACTGAGAGGCAGAGGGGAACACGAGGCCGAGAGTGCCAAGGAAGCCCGGAGCAGAGCGGTCTCCGGGACGGTGCCGCGGACAAGGCGGAAACTCCACCCAGCCCGGCCTGCTGAGAAGAAAGGCAGCTGCAACTCAGGAGCAGAAACAGCCCCAGACACAAGGCCGACGGCCCGCCAGGGAGAGCCGCTCGAAACCTCACCGTGAAGTCTGACGTCTCTATGCTGCCCAGGGTGGGGCCCTTCTCCACCATGAAGCTCAGGAGTCCAGTCAGGATGGTGGAGACAGACCAGGCTGGGTTCCACGTGTCCGGGTGGAAATCCGTGATGGAAAGACACAGCCTGCAAAACGGGCCGGTCAGTGCACGCTCCCCCTCGGCCAGAGAGCTTCCTCGGCCCCTCCCGGTCCTTACCTGGTGTTGCACTTAAATCTTCCATTGGGAGTTATCATATAAATACTAGGAGGTTTAAAAGGAAATTCTCTGGGAAAAATTAGTTTTCCATGATAATAGCCACCTACATGGAAACAAAACAGAAAAGGCCTTGTTGTCCTCCACAGCGGGGGCAGGAGGAGGGGCTAGAGGTCTTGCCCCTCCCACACGCCCCCACTCAGCCCAGCTCCCGAGTTCTCGAGGCGGCGGTCTCCAACTGAAAGCGGCTCCCAGGCTCAGTCCCCCGCCTCCCCGGCCTCACTCTCCAGTGTCACTTCCACCCCACTGTCATGACCACTCCGACCCAACGCCCCTGCACACCCTACCTATACCCGCACACACACACTAACCAGGAGCAGAGGGGTTGGAAGGGGGCCTGCAGGGCCTCCTTGCAAAGCCCCCAACATATCAGGAGCTCCAGGTCCAGCTGAGGCTGTGGCTCGCAGAACTGGGGTCCCGACCCAGCGACTCTCCAGTACCGTTCGCCTCTCTGACCCAACTGCACCCAGAAGCCAGCAAAACCTCAAAACACACTCTCTACCCCACCTCA